CCGAAGACTTCCGAGCGCTACTGTATATTGGTGCAGAGCAGTCATGGTTCACATAAGTTGTTACATCTACCGATCATCATCGATTGTGAAAGCGACTTACCGATGTATTCAAGTGGATAGTTCAGCCATCCTGTAGTGATGCAGTAGTAGCAAGCATGTGGGGCAATATGGTGTATCTGAAATGGCTTAGACGTCAAGAATCCGAAAACAACACAATATGGCATCATTTCGCAGACATTACGGTGAGAGAAGCTGTAAGGGATATGTTACACATCACAGATAACCGTTACTACGTAAGGACTGTGGTATTCCTTCAAATGGACGCCCTAAACAAAAAGAAACAAAAAGAAGGAAGTTAGGTCAATGCCTCCCTCCAATGCATTTCTGGTGGGTACAATGAAAACACGGAAACTCTTTACTTACAGAATTTTGATACAGAGGACGAACTAATTGTTCAGGAATGCGAGTCAAGAATCTGACAAGCTAGAGTGCTCACCTTATGATGGGATCGAGGTAGAACGATGTGTGCCTTCTGCAGCAAAATTACCCATCGAGAAAGATTGAAGTAGGTGTGGGACCATTTGTGAATCTGAAACCAATCTGACAGGAAGAATATAATTTTGATTTTCAGATTTTCAGGGTTCGAGTGATAAGACATGTAATCCCCATTCCACAAATTCACCTGATTCGTCATTGCAACGTAAATCCCAAGCAGCAAGATGTACCAGTGAAATGCGGCCCACTGTCGCAGTTCCTCTTGATCCATAGTGAAATGTTGATAGACGACATGAGCAAGATTAGGGATGCAAAGCATGAAATTGTCGCCATTAACCTGAATCGAAGAAAACTCGACAGTCACGGGGTTTCCGACAACAAAATGAGCTATATGAATGACAAAGTTCCAGTCACAATGAATACTAAATGTATAAGAAACCTAGTCAGGAGACTACGATCATCGCTGTGTCAAAATATAAAGCAACGATGATGCTGATCCCGAACCATTAGCCGTGGAACTAAAAAAGTGGTCGGCCAGAGCAGATGTTATTCAACTATTCAAACTTCGGCTATGGGTGTGATAACGGCATCACTTGATACCCTTGCGACGATTCCAGTATAGATGACAGGCCTAAAGTGTTCAGATGGGAACGGCCATTGCTACACATGGTGAATTCACTTAGAATAGGAAGGCGATAGGAAGGGGAAATGGAAGAAGACTAGGAAGGGTTTGAAACATTCCTGACACGTCTTCGCGATAAGACACAACAAACATCATCCAGCGCTCTAGCTATCCAGGACGGGGAATCAACACTTTGACAAGCAAAATTTAATTCAGAGTTGAGCACAAGAAACCGAAAAATCGAACACTTAGACAGTAGTAAGATGAAGAAATGAGCCCCGGTCCTCTTTTGCTAGGCTCCTCCCTTCCTTTAAAGAACACTACAAGTACCTAGATTCGGCACAGACAGGAAGAGCGTGTGGCAGTCAACGTCGAGTCGCTCTAGCAACTTAGCGAAAGAAAATCTTAGTCAACTAGCAATACAAAGGTGTTCCGGCTCATCATTTACTAGGCTCTTTTGAGGTTGTACGTCATTCCTTCCAACGTCACTGCATAAAAAGCGAATTACGACGAGAAACTCACCTCCACAAAATCATGTCGCGTGATTGCGGTCGGGTCCACGTGATGCTCTCGGAATGGTCGAATGAACATCTAAATTCCACGGTATCGAATGAACGTTCCTTCATATTATATGCCTATTCTTTTCTTATTATATTTCAGTACAGTAAATCAATCCTATTGAGACAAAAATGTTTCATGCAGGATTACATCACTAGGTTGGAAAGTTAGCGAGGCTTTCAACAATTGAATGTGGATGGCTGTGTTCAATTAAAAGTAATCACTTAGAGATGATAGATGAATGAATTCAAGTTTACGTACTTTTCCAAAGTAGGTGTCCACGCTGCCGAACGTGTCTGCACCCCAGTGCACGAGTCCGGACGCAAAGTCGGCAGTCATTACTCCCAAAACTGCACCAATCAACACCGATCCTGAATCAGATAGCGACTGTCATGTATGTCTAACTGATGAAAGCTTATCAGAGATTGAAGTAGTTGAATCACGGTCGTTGTAGACAGAGATGAAGGCACCCATACTGATCCGCACCTACTGGTAACCCAAACAGAAATAGTCATTGATTGAAAGACCTTACTCCCAGTGCATACGGAAGCGCTCAAAGATGGGATCTATTACGGATATTATTCAAAGTGGTTGCAAAAAAAACCTCATTGGTACTACACGCCTCATGGGCAACAGATGATTACAGCGATATCCGTGTTTAGGGTTCGTCCCTAAACCCTCCACTTCTCAGATGCACGCCCACGACTTCGCATAATTCAACATTTACAAACTATCTGTGTTTCTTTGTGTACAGCAAGCGACAATGTTGTTTTTGCAGCGAATACAAAATATGAGATACTACTGGTTTGAAAAGAAATTAGAAAAATTAGAAAAAAAAATTCATTCGGACTACTCACCCCAGTTAGAAGAGTCCCAACTCCTCAAAAGGCTCACGAAGACAAGTACAAATAAAATAGAAGCCACAACGACTGAGACCTGTTCCTGCAGGCGTTTCTCTGAACAATTTCTGATTTACCACTGAATATACTTTAAAATAGAATTGTTAAGCCCAAAGCTGGAACAACATACGTCTTTCAAATGACCGCCTCCCTCCAATTAAGTCTCTGATTTCTCTTATAGCTGTTTTATTTCTACTTTTACGCAGAAATTATGAACCGCGTCCCCTTCGTATCCTTTCTTTTCCATACAGCGACTAAGGTATAGATGAGGTACTATGAGAGGGCTCTTACTACGTTGATGATGTGATGACATTGCAGCCCAATATACGCCAGCCGCCAGCGCTATTTGTAGTCAAAACGGGTTTCTCAGCTTCAGTTGATATTGTTATAGATTCGCGAAGGTCAGTTACTGATCGCTGATAACACAAAAAACGCTTTCTTTTCGACAATCGCGCTACTTGAGTGGGCTTACTGACACTGACTTGACATTGATCATCATATTTGTAATCACCGCTATCAACCACCACTAACAGTGAGTTCATGACTGAAAAATTGTGACGCCAGCATGCTGCCTATCGATGTTGGTGGTGCCAGCCCAGCTGTGCAGCCCTTTGTACTGCAACTAGAAACATCATTGATAACCAGCCTTACTAGATTTGCTTTCCCATCAATTTTTGTAATGAACAGGAAGCATTATGAAATTGATAGCACCTTTACTGTACATAGAAGCTNGAAAAATTGTGACGCCAGCATGCTGCCTATCGATGTTGGTGGTGCCAGCCCAGCTGTGCAGCCCTTTGTACTGCAACTAGAAACATAGACCATCATTGATAACCAGCCTTACTAGCTTTGCTTTCCCATCAATTTTTGTAATGAACAGGAAGCATTATGAAATTGATAGCACCTTTACTGTACATAGAAGCTAGGGCTTTAGCTCCAGCATGTTCTGGTCCCCAACGAGGCACCGCAGCACCCATCTCCGAGTTGACGTTGCCATTTGGATCGTCTTCGGGCATTGATGGGAGCTTTGAGGGATCGATGTCATCAGCGAGCGTTGGAGCTGGATCAGGAGATAAGAACCTGCAAACAAACAGTGAGCTCTTTTAACGAGTGGAAGAGTCCGATAAAGGGGAGATGGATGCCTCACAGTTAATGTATGTATTGTAACACGGAATACAGTGAGCTGAGAAATTTCGGATGAAAAAGCTAGGTTTACCCAAGGAAAGAAGCTAAGCTAACGTTGTTCCTTCGTTACTCACTGTCAAATCCGTTACTCGTGTGCCTACCCGAGAAGGAGCTGACAAGGAAAACACACGGTCCAACGCGAACACATGACACGTTATTATGTATTGACAAAGATGTTGTTACGAACTTTTTTTTTATAAATGCTTTTAATAGGAAATCTCTTTCTTGGACCTGTTCTTCTGATCTCCGACACTTATCAAAAATATTGCCAGTTCAGCCACCGCGAATTACTGAAGCGCAACAAACCGACGCTACGGTAATGCACGGTTCCAAGAAATTTTTAAGTCTACCTATGCAGTCCCAGACCTTGTATCCAGTAACCTCAAGCCCTAAACTTCAATCTCTATTGAGTGAAGTCATGAAATTACAGTTGCTCAAGATCTAGCCATTTCTGACGACCTTGGTTTTTTTTTTCAGAAGTTCAGAGCCGTCATGAGCCAAGTCACGATCTTTTTGCAAATTTTCCGCTCATCTTGGTCCGAGTGGAAGCCTTATTTGCTATGTAGTCAAATCTGCCCAAATCTTTCAACTATCAATAGCTTTGAACTGATACACGGGCTCCTCGCAAAAGCTAAATGGTGGAACCCTGCTCACCCTTCCACCATTCATTTTCCTTCTAAAGAATTGGCAATATTAACGAATGGCGTTTAAAAAAGCCTTACATTTTTTCCTCATTTTGGGCCTGCTTCTTTTCTGCGATCTCGTCCGCTGCCTCGACAGAACTCATCCTGAAAAATGGTAGGTAAACTATTGTTGCTGTTATGTTACTCCTCACTTCCGTGAATGAGAACAAGAAATAAAAGAATTACGTGTGGTAGTGATCTTAATGATGTTAAAGAAAAGTCATTTTTCCAAAGAAATCGCCTACAAAAACAAATTCAGGTAAAGAATATGTGCAGCCACGAGGTGAGCCTTCAATGACAGCTTCCTAAGGAAGAGGAGTTCACGATAGGTCCTTTTATTTAGGACCTCCAAATGTTATTGAGGTAGAAAGAAATGGTTCTTGAGACTCCAGGCAATGACTATTGACTCTATCTATGTAGCTGTAGGTTTTCGGAGGTGAGCGGGCCTCAATACCGAGCAAATGACTATTCCCCAAATATCAAGTATCAATCCATTCAACTTCCATGACGTTTTTCCATAGCTTTTGCAATTTTCGGAGACATTTCAATCGTGAATCTATGACAACTTCTCTGACGGACCGCTCATTACTTAGAGTAAATGCTCTGTACTGCACCATTATTTTCTTTAGACAAAATAATACCACTAAATGCGTGGTCGTAATCTCGCATGATTTAAGAGGTAATAAAGATATGCTGTCCAAGGTACAGACGACAATGGCGTTTTGAGGAAAACGAATCACGAGGGATAGGTGCATTTTCCTTACCACCTGGAACTGCAGCTCTTATGTGGACTTCATAGTCCAACCGGCCATTTCTTAATTGTAGCACTTGGTGGTTATTCAATTATGAGCTCAATCGAGTCCAGAAATCGTTTCCTTGTTCTTCACTGTTAAGTGAAGAGGACTTTCTACAGACTTCTTCTTTACTTACATAACAGTGAAGATGTAAATGCTCGCCTTCGCCTTTTCAGGATACCTCAATATTTGGAGTTTTTCTAAGAGCAATGCTTGAATTACTATAAAGTCGGCACTATCTGCATCTATAAGCCATTGGTTTTTTGGAAAAAGAGTTACTTGCAAGTAGCTTTTATTTCTTTAAAAGGCACAGACATGGTATCAAACTTTAAAACTAAACTCGTCAAGAACTCTTAGGGCTCAATCAATCCGTCAGAGGGGTGCGCCCACACATTCGGTTTCGTATACCACTTTATAATATTCGCCTGCACGACGAATGGCGTAATGGGGTCGAGTCGGTGTAGGAGAGTGGAGGGGGGCACACATAACAGAATAAGTATAACAAGAAATTAACATGGCTACGTGTTGAACTTGTTACATCAGCACTGTACCGAAGACGAAGAGGAGGATGAGCATTAGCCATCTGTGCGCTCTTATGCGATTTTAACCAGGGGCGTGGAGTTTTTAACTGATCCTCAGGGGAAGGAGCACCAGGGTTCGTGGGGGTGTTGTGATTCGTGCGATTTTGGGTGCGCGCGACAAACTGTGCGGCGAAACTCGGTACGATTTGGGCGACTGCAACGTTTTCATTTGGGCCCAAATTTGAGGTAAAGTAGGCTGGGAGGATTCGACCCTAACAAAGTACTCTACTTCAAGTTTGTGCCCCAATGATAGACGCCAGAGGAGCCTTGCACCATTTAACCTAACTCGGAAGGATGAAAGGCTTGGTTGGCTCTGAATCATTCGAATTTCGCCGCGCGCGCCCAGAACCGCGCGAATCGCTCGCCCCCCGGGTTGGTGAGATGGTCACCTCGTGCAGAAAACTGAAAATTCACCCACTCCCGATTCTCGGTTCCCTTCCGAAGCTTGGTTAAAAAACTGAATGTCCGTGGTGTAACACTAAACAATATTAACATCGGTTGATTCCTTTATAGACTACCCTGCCCACTCCAACTACACTTCAATCAGTTTAAACAGCATCTCTGCAAGGAATCGCTCAGCATTACCGATTATATGTTTGCGGATTCTTCGGAACATCTTCCTACCGGGTTGACACAAAACCCTGTCGCTTTTGGTTGAAATAAGTTCTCCTGAGGAGTCAGAGGGTTGAGGGCTGAGGCATGGCGACTGATAAAAGGTTCCTACCGGTACGCTGAGAAAATAGGGAACGACGGAAAGACTTCGTGAATAAGGACCTGGATGGCATCAATAATTTGTTCTGTAAGCTATTCTGTAACTAATAATTTGTAAGGTGATGTCTTCATCCTTGTCACCCGAACAAACTAAAAAGAGCTTTTGAAATTCGATGTAGACTGTGCGTAAAACAAACGGGAAACAAATGTTCAGGTGGTGAAGAAATAGCTTCTGAATGATGGATAAAGTGAAGGCGCAAAAAAGAAGCAGGAAGAAAAGGCTCGCATAATAAAAGTGGTAAGGTTCCATGACTGCTTTGAAAACAGAAAACTACAGGTATTTATCATACCATTGTTTCGACACCAAGAACCTCTGAAATCAATTCGATCAACACATCATCGCAGAGACGATTCCTTCCTTATAGGCTCCTGAGGACACGGTTCCATCGAAACATGCTCCAATCAGGGTACTGTCAACCTTGTGTGAAGTTGTATTGATGCAGTGGTTTTAATAAAAAGCCAAGATTTAACGAGAGCCGCATGTGGGAAGAACGAAGAATTTGCAGGACGTCTCAACAGTGAAATGTTAGGAGGGGTCTTAAACATTGTAAGTGAACAGTACATCGTGGGTGAACTCCCTGCAATGAAATCAGTGATTGTTAGTTGCTACATAGTTCGGCCGATTTTCGTCAATTCGATTTTTCACTTTGCAGACCCGAAAGTCGGCCTAAACTATAACTGCTCTCGAAGGGAGTAGTGCAGACAAGTATCTTTCGACTGGTATGCAACATGTTTCGAGATCATAGAACCTTCACTGGTATGCAACATGTTTCGAGATCATAGAACCTTCTGAAAGAAAGTCCAGCTTGGAAAAAGAACAACGCTACGTCTTTCGAGGTAATCTTTTCAAGTAGTAAAACGGAAGTGTCCATGAAGAATAAAGCATCGGTTTCGATGAAAGCGAAAAAATAGGCTAAATTCCGAAATATATATAAGGCTTCTTAATAGTATAAGAGTAGGAGGTTGTCCAAGATTACTATAACGGTAATGCTATGGGGAGGAAACTTGGACGAGACTTCCGGTGCAGCAATTGGATATAGAGCTGGCTGCCTGAGCCATAAATGACCAAAACTGCCTTTGACCGTCATTATTGGTCACGACTAGTTGTACGAAATTCCAACTAAGGCGTTTCCTGTAAATGGCGCAGCCTCTATGACACCTTTAAAACTCGTCCGCCTATAGGTGTGGCGGTGAAAATGTAGTTGGGGGGGCCACCCATCCGAAGGTCAGTATATCAAGAAATGAACTCAGTCTAACGTGTTAGCCCTTGTTATATCAGCACTGTATCGGATGCGAAGAGGATGATGGGAATCGACCAGCTTAGCTCTTTTATGCGGTTTCCGCTGAGGAAATTTAGTTTCCCAAATAAGCCTAGGTAGGGTAGGAGCGCCTGGGTGGCTGGGATGATTAAAAAAAAAAGAAAAAAAGAAAGAAAACTTGCCCACCGCGGTGTTCCTTCCCTACGAGAGCCCTTATTTAAAAACTGGTATGTTCGTGATATAACACGACATAACGCGTTTCATTGAGTTCATTTCATGATATACCGACATTGTGATAGGTGGCCCCCCCCCAACTACATTTTCACCGGTGTGGCATATACAACATTCAAGCCCCCACAACACCCTATCTAGGCCGCTTTCCAATCCTATTGCGCCTGATATGGTATACGGGGAACCACAGATTCACTTGGGAGGCTATGTCAGAAATCGTTTTTATGTGAACCGTGGATTCAAGAGCTTGAAAGTGTTCATGATATTCAGACTCTAAGGAAATTCCGATACCAGAAGAAGAAGAAAATGAGCCTAAACGAGGTTTAGAAAGTAAGGATTCTTCAACATTCGAGGCGCCGACGTTGCTTGATTGCTTCTATAGTCATTGCCCTGGTTTTATAGTTATCCAACTGAATTACGTTCAGAATTCGTCATCATAATAGGATTACACGAAAAATATTTTTATCAATTCTCACAACGCAATTTACTCATACATGTGGTTAGTTAGGATTACGCCATTCATTCAGTTAGTCACAATGTGGTGCCTCCATAATAATTACAACCCATGATCCACGTTCCCAGCGGCTGAACATGAGTTTTTGCAAATCAAACAGCTTAACTGTATTACCCAATAACAATCTCAGAATGAGTTTGAAAAAACATGTAGTTTCAAAGTTATTAGAGTCTTAGCATTTGAAGTAGAATCGGAAATTTATCAATGCGGAAAATATAAGGGGAAGACGAAAATGTAGCCTTTCCACGACTGAATTGTAGCGACATTTTGGCTGGTATGGTTCAGATGCATCAATGTACAATAGATCCCCAGTTTTTTTTTTGAGCACGGACTTGCTAATTTCAGTGAGTGACAGTGAATATTTGGTTGGGCACACAAGCAGAAGTAGCGGTAACATCTACAAAAAGACCCCGCTCTTCATTCCAGAAACTTAGCAATGAAGGAACAAAGAAATCTTTTTAATCAACTGGTAATTCATTCCCATTCAAACCTACTCGTTTTCATCTCGGCAGAGGTAGTGGAGCGCTACTACGGTGAGATCAATTGCACCCCGCGGGAATCAGATCCCGGCTTACGTGCAGGCCGAACCAACCATCCATCCCTCCGGGATAGAATAAATGGAAATAAACTCGACTGGCAAGATAAGGCTCTGATTTGTACATTCCAAAACGTGGGCGCATTCCAAAACGGGAGTG